TGCTGACTGTATTCTTTTCCACTACACTATGATTTCAAGGTGGCAAATTATTTTTGTTGACATCCATATCTAGTTTCTTCTGAGCCTGGCACCCAGCACTATCTAACACACTTTGATAGTGTAAGAAAACTTGATACCCTGGGACAAGGCAGAAAACAATTTTAGATTTATATTAACATTTCAACCACTACTCCTAAGTTTCCAGAGACTGTATAGAATAAAAATAAGAAGATTTAACAATGAATACCCCCTAACTAAAGTTCTTTAATTAACATTTTATATCCTACTCCAGGTTCATTTGTTTTAATCTACACATATATCACAGCTGAAGGTGACAAGTCAGAGTACTCATTACTGAGACTTTCCATTTTCTTATTAAGCCCATTTATTTGTAGAATTAGAACATGCTCTATAATTTTCCACACTCTGAGAATACTACAATTGCAGTAATTATTTTACCAAAACTCTGAAATATGAATTGATGAATGACAGAATCTGTTATTTTAAGCAAATCACTGATTTATTTTGTATCAACTGGAATTAATCAGTGATTTGTCTAGAAATTCAAAGGATATGATAATTATACAAAATAAAATAATTACAAAGCAGTATATAAATAAAGGAGAAACATTGACTATCAAATTCTGTTTAATACAATGAGAATAAAAATTTACTACAGATATCCACTTTCCTGATGCTAGAGAACAGGAGAATGTTATGTAAGACATAATGCAAAACTGGCCATATGTATAAAGGTTCCAGTCTCAAAAAGATCAAAGTGATTATGCAAATAGCACTGACTTTTAGGCAATGATTTAAAATTTCTTTCTATAGGCTGACTAAAGAAGGAGGAAAAGAAACAATTTGCAGAAGTTTTACTGTTTCACGATGCTAACATTAAAAAAAAAAAAAGATGTGTCATTCTTTTGAATATAATGAGAAGTACAAGAACTAAACCATTAGCCTCTTAGTCCATGGAAATAGTTGTAAATGAAGGCCTGTGTTCAGAAGTACACGAGGAAAAGTTAAAATAATGAGAATTTTCCCAGGGTCCCCCATCAATATTATGACAACCCTGGATAAAGGTGAGACTGATCCTACCCAGAAACATTCTGGAAAATCAATACAAGCCCATTTCCTTTGTTGCATGGATCACTCTAATGCACAGATCAGAGTGAACTCAAAGGCCATTTTTCAACACTGGGAGACTAGACAATTTTGAGTGTAAAAGTGAGACTCAGAACCATGGTAGTCATTTAGGCTGATAAAAGTCTGATAAAAAGGTCAATGCACAAAAACGAGCAGATATATCACTGAACAGAAAAGCTGAGCTAAATCATACAATAAACTCACCTCCTCTCTGGGCTTCTCAGTTACTTTAATAAATAAATCACTTTTACTATTTGAGCCAGTTACAGTTACAATTTGTTATAATTGCAATCAAAATCATTCTGTAGTAGAAGTGTTTGGGTTTGCCTGGGATAACATTGGTTTAAATCTGTTTCCCTGGTGTGATTATTGTTAGTATCCACTTTCACATTCAAAAACACCTCACTTTACATCATAAAAGATCCATCAAGTAAGAGCTATAAAATCTTCTTGTATTGAGACATATGATTTAGAAATGTCAGGATTTGACAGCCTGGTATTTTAAGCTTCTGAGTAATCGTAAAAATAACCCATTTTGGTTTTGTACAATGGAGTGACTCTAACATGAATGCTCAAATATGGAAGAAAAACTGACAATAATCTTTATACCTATTATGGCACAGGATAAATAGTCAAGTGTATAAACACAGAATCTCTTTAAGGCCTTTACACACACCAATTAGTAATGAATATAATTGCATACACATATAATCACACACCCTAATATTGTAAAACATGTTTAGGCAATGCTGTTTTCTTTCTTTGTTAAGTTGTACATTACTTTAGACACCATGAAGAGGCCAAGCCAGAATGTAGAAGAGAGATAAATTAGGAGTAGTTCAATTACATAAGAAACATTCACCTTAAAGATTAGTGAATCAACTCTCCTATTGAATTATATTATTATTCAATGTAGAGAGTATCAATATTAGGAGTTCTGAAATGTTTTAAGCAACAAATACCAAGTAATATTATTATAGCAAAAAATGGCTAACATGATTAAGCACAAATTCCTATTATATATACCTTTTAAGAAACAAATTTAAGAGAAAATATTTTCAATAAAGAACATCTGTTCTTGAGTCTCAGGATCTACCAACTTTCTATCTGCATGGGACATATAATTTACAACATTCAGACTGGAATTTACCAGCAATCTCCAAAATGGCCTGATGTTACCTCCTATTTCTTTGTGAGTTCACAATTACTAGGTAAAGTATTGAAATTCTGATGGGATAATTTTTAGAATTTACCAATGAAAATTACAAGAAAATGACAGTCCCTACAAACTTAAGTCTTTCACAGATTTGTAAGTCCATTATTGTCTGTTTTTAATGAGAATTTAAAATGTTTAAAATTTTTTAGACTAAGTTGTGCATTAGGCTAAGCTGTGCATTAGGCAAATGAATGAATCCTAAGGAAAATTGGTAGGAATATATTTATTACAATGTTAATATATTCAGCCATATATGTTATTGCCGAAAATGAGACTACTGTTTCCGGTTTGTATTTAGCATTTCACCTTCAAAAGTGTATGCATATAATGTATCTGTAATGAGTCTATGACTCATGAATTCTACTCTAAGATTAAAAAAAATTCAGTCATTTATATACAAAACATATCCTCCTATCTTATATTTCAGAGTTACTAAGTGTTGTCAATTAGTGATAAAGTGTTTACATTTCCATAAGAAATATTTACTATTTACAACTTATGTTTGTAGCAAGATAAGAGATTACTACATTGTGTTGTTGTTTTTTTTTCAGGAATTCCACATAATGAAATCTGGAATAAATACACTGGGACAAGTCCACCCGTCATTAGACAAAGTATAAATAAAATATGCTTATGAATGTCCTAACCATTCTGCTCTGGTATAAACCACTGCCTCCCCAACCCATGCACTACCCTTTAACAATTTTTATTCATTTCAGTGATGTAAAAATATGAAAAATGTAAATGTGATGTATTTAAAAGAAACAATGACTGAAAATTAATAATAAAACATATATTTTGGTGAGAAAATAGGGTCCTTCTCAAAACACACATTTAAATAATGATGAGGATACCCTGTGCCAACCTATTCCATTCCAGCTTACCCTATTTTATCAACTAGAAGGGTTGGGGTTAAAGAGTGAATACACATAAAGAAGATTTTTCAGTATCCTTAATTCTAGAATGGCCTTGAATATATCCATTAGCTGGATTCTTCAGCCACTAGTTTTATCACAATAATTTTAAATTGAGCCAAACATAAAGGAAAAAGAGAGCTGAAAAAAGGAGGTGAAATGGAGGAAGGAACATATTGCAGGAGATACATGGTTTTACTCAATGTAGAGATTGAATTTGACTTAACCAAGTCCACCAGAAGTTCCATTTGTGAGGCGAGATTTTTCTCCAACACTCCATTATCACTAGTCCTTTCAACATTGTTCAAAAATATCTACTTCCTTGTCTTCTGATCTCAGGGGAGACTCTGAGGATATGTCTGTCAGATTGGACATCATCAGACACCACAAGATTTGAGAATCCCTCTTTATGACATCTGCACTGTTTATATGAGTCTAATCCCTGTCTGAGCAAATGGAACAGCTGCATTCATGACCTCCCAGAAGTGAACAGACCTGTCTGAGCACAGCATTGCCTTGAAAATTCTTGCCTCTGAAAGCTAATTTTGAAGTTGAAAACTCTCCACCCATGTTTCCCTATGAATCCACCCATTCCTCTTCTGAAAGAAACGTAATATTTTCCATGAAAAAAAAAAAAAAGAACAAAAAATATAAGCCAATGTGGGTTGGGGGAAAGAAGAAAGGAGAAAACTATTAGGAAAAATGTACAAGTTATAATTAATGTAATTGCAGCAAATGTAACGTTATTAATTATGTTGACATGGGGCTGATATCCCTATTCTCAAGTTGAGGGCTTTTTAAAGAAAGATATGCATAACATAAGCCTTGGAGACAACTGTACTCATCATCTAAAACATGAATTACAGAGATCTATTACTGTACAACCACACAAACCACAGAAATATTTTATACCAGTTATCATACTGCAAAGTTTGATCACAACATAATAATCTTGTTAAAAGTGAACCAGTGCAATTTCAGAAGATTTCTAATGAGCAAGCAAAATACCAAATTCAAAAAAAAAAAATACTGATATAAATACGTACTAAGGCTTACTCATCAATTACCAAGAAAGTTTTATTTGTCACTTATTTTTGAAATTTTTTTTTAACTTGTAGACAGACAGAATACCTTTATTTTATTTATTTATTTATTTTTATGCAGGGCTGAGGATCAAACCCAGTGCCTCACACATACTTGGCAAGCACTCTACCACTGAGCCACAACCCCAGCCCATTATTTGGCACTTTCAGCCAAACAAAAATACTAATGAATGAACAATGGAAAAGTACCAGAGAAACACCAGAATAATAAATTATAGCTCAGTAAAGAAACATATCTTTACTCTCTCAACAGTCAAAATAATTTGTCAGGTAAAGTCATATTTTATGTCAGAGAATTTCAGGAAATGAGAACATATGTATAGGCATTCCAGCAAGCACACTGCAGTGTGAAGACTGTCAGGGATATTGTGAGAGTAGCACTTGAGCCTTGGAATGACTAGACAGAAGTTGGGAAGAGCAAAGATGTAACAGCCAACATCAAAGAAGGTGTTCAGGTCTCCACTTGTTTGTATTAGAGCTACTGGTAAGAACATTATTCCACCTAAAGAGATTCTCTTGCTTGCTTTAAGATGGCTTGTATCAATCTTAGTTATAGTAGAGTGTAATGAGACACGTTTTTTAAAAAAAAAATTTAAAAAAAACATATGTTTTGCTTACCTTATAAATGTTCTTTCTCCTCTTTTCTATGCCAGTCCAGATGCTTGGGTATAGTTCCTCCCTGCCAGTAGATGGAGATAGTAAAATTGAGTCTTTTGGTGACCTTAGATCCTAATCTAGGTGGTTCAGAATCTTCAATGTCAGATTTGGGTGGTAAAAAATATAATTTGAATGATGGAAAAAGACACATAAAGCTCGTAAAAATAGCTGAGTCTGTGAAATGAACTTATATTATTGGTCATTTGTACTATTCTTTACAGGAGAGGTTCTTGGCTGGCATAGAAAAAAATAAAAGAAAGAGCATTATTTGGTATACAATCCCTTGACTCTTCCTAGATCTTCCTACTCTTCCTAGATCTTGCTCATTCACTCAAGTAACATCCATTGAGTATCAAATCAAAACTACAAGTAGTGACCAGATACTTTCATGTACATTATCTAATTCATGTTTTTAATAAGGCTGTGTAGCATTTGATATCCTTTATTTTTTTTCCCCGAAACTGTGTATTTTAAAGTTCCATATGGTGAGCTGGCTCCTGTGTGCCAACTTTCTGAAGTCCTCCTGATGGCCAAGATTCTCAGATTTAGGCAAAATCAGCTTCCTCTTTTTATTGCTAAAGGGACCTTCAAGTTGGAAACTCATTTGCTAGTGATAAAAAGTGGTTTTGTTTTATTTTATTTCAAATTAATACAAGTCCTCCAACAGCTTTGCAGGAAGAAATTTAAAAAGTTAAAGTGCAGTCATTTTGAAGAGATTAAATGGATTTTCAGAAATACAACTAGATTCAGGAATAGAGCTTTATGAAAAAAAAAGTTTTTTGTTTAAAGACTGCACACTGCATACATTAAAATGCATGATTGCTGATAATGACTTAATAAAAGAATAAAATTATTATCATTTTCAAAAGCTAATGGAAGTATACCTAAATACCTCTTGAAGATGATAAGAAGCAAACTAAAAACATTCCACACTGAAATGAAAACTGAAAAAATTATGAAATAATTGCTTCCATTTTTCTCATTCAGTTCAGTAAAGCCATTGAATTTTCATAAAAACATAATTTGTGCTTCTTCTTTATTCCAAAACTTAGTTTAAATCTCAACATTGCTTGTAGTCATGGTCTGTGACTTGGTTTCAACACAACACATTTTTGGAAAATATAGGCATTACAGAACTAACTGAGAATAATACTAATTTGTTCAAGAATTACATTATTCATGTAAAAGTACTCTTATAACAGTACCTAAATCAATCTGCCCAGATGCATATACTAATATTTAATTATCCCAGTTAGTCTTATATGAATTTTTGATTGTAAAGCTCTTGATTATACAAAAGATTTCATTTCAATTGTTACAACTTTAAAAACTAAAAGTACTGAGCAGATACTTCTCAGAAGAAGAGATATGAATTTTCAACAAATATGCAAATTAAAACTATACTGAGATTTCATCTCACCCCAATCAGAATGGTAATTATCAAGAATACAAATAACAATAAATGTTGGTGAGGATGTGAAGAGAAAGCTACACTCATACATTGCTGGTGGGAATGCAAATTGGTGCAACTACTCTGGAAAACAATATGAAGATTCCTCAAAAAAACTAGGAATAGAACCACATTTGATTGTTACCCTACTTCTCAGCGTATACCCAAAGGATTTAAGATCAGCACACCACAAGTAACACAACCACATCAATTTTATAGCAGCACAATTTACAATAGCTAAGCTGTGGAACCAACCTAGATACCCTTCAATAGACGAATGAATAAAGAAAATATGGTATATATAGTAATACAATGGAGTATTACTCACATAAAGAAGAATGATTTCATGACATTTGCCTGTAAATGGATGGATATGGAGACTATCATGCTAAATGAAATAAGCCAGTCCCAAAAGCCAAAGGTCAAATATTTTGAGAAATATATGGAACCTAATCCACCACAATATAGAGGAAGAGGGGAAGAACAGATATGCAGTAGATTAGACAAAGGAGAATGAAAGAAAGGGAAGGGGAATGGGAAAAGGAAAGACAGTGGAATGAATTTGACATAATATTCCTGTATACATACATAAATATACCATAGTGAATCCCACCATTGTGAATATCCTTAAGAATGGAATACTAATTAGAATAAGATATATCCTATATTTGAATATCAAAATGAATTCTGCTGCCATGTATAACTAAAAAGAATGAATAAAATTTTAAAATTTTAAAAATACATATCATTAAAAAACTAAAAGTAGCGCATATACTTTTTTCCCTATGAAAATAGAGTGAGGCATCACAATAAGTAGGGTAATCATACAATTTCTTATCCAAATCAAAACATTTTTAACAATGAAAGAGAATATTAATAATTGTGTCAGAGCAAGAGAGATGATCAACTTCAATTCCCAGAATCTGGAACACATGATTATCCTAATGACAAAAGATAGGATTAACCTCCAATCTAAAGCTCTTGTGTCTCATTGCTATCTGTTCTCTTTGTACTTCATCACACTACTTAGGACATCTTTCAACTTAGAAATCTACTAGATTGATTCACAAGTATGTTTTCCTGTTTGCATCCTGATCAACTTACCACTTGGAAATGCATTTTCCTTGTTTTCAGAAACATGGTAATATCCATTATATTTACAAATATATTTACTTTTTACATTATATTTACTTTTTCAAAATAGTTTAAAACAACAAGGACCCTAACAACTCTCTTTAATTGTTTTTCATTATGTTGTTTGTGAGATCTGTCCAATATTACCAATCAAGAGGAGACATTTTTCCCAATTATTATCAATTTACTGGATTCTGGTTTTCTTCTCATGGCTGGATCAAGAGTTAACTCTACTTACAAATTTCACGTTGGTCCAGAATTTAATACTCTCTAAAAAGTGGTTAATTTAGAGAAGGCAAGTAATCACTTAAAATATTTAAAATGTGTTATAATGTGGAGAAATGAACTATACTAAATGAGCAATATGATTCCACAACCTGTACACTTGCTAAATATTTCTTGATTGGCTTAACTAAAAATTTCACCCACTGACATAGTTATGAAAAAATTTTGATAGATCTTATCTATCTTGGTTCTTGGAGTATTGTTGCCTTATTAAAGTTATTTTTGTTGTTGTTGTATTCATTTTTGTTTTTCTGCCTTAAAAAGAACAAATAAAGATCCTCCACATTGCATTTAAAAAGACACCAGCAACCTATTTTGATAACATAAAATCTATCCAAATGAAATAGAGTTATGTGAAATTCATGTCTGGAATACTTCAACATGATTTACAAAATCTCCAAAATACGACTTCCAACAACTGCGATATTCCATCTAATAAAAATCACATTCAGAAAAGAAATTTTTCTTTCCTTTCTGAAATCAGAAATCAAGTATTTGTTTTAAAAATAAAATCTCCACTGTCTTAACCAGACTCAGGAACCACATATATATACTACTAATAAATGATAATCCTGGGATTTTCTCTTCGTGATTGTCTTCCTTCCACATTTCCAAGATCAAAACTTGGAGGAGATAGCCTGATGCTTTTATTTTTCTATGCTAGATGTGAGTTATAAAAGGTAATGTTTAGAACTGGTTTTAAGTGCTGCGGTATGGTTGGATAATACAGTAGCACCATTATGGTAAAGAGCATGCCAGCAGGATGACCTAGACAGAGGAACATAATAATGTAGGAAGCTTTTGAGACAAAAACAAACCTTAACGTGATTTGCTAAATAATGTCTGTAATCCTCTGTTCCTTTATAATTGCTCCAATTATAAAACTAGCCTTCAAAACTCCTCAAGTACGCTAAACTTCTGAACCACCTATTTAAAAACAAAAACCATTTTCTGATCCTTTTAAAGGAATGGCTTGACAAACCCTTGAGAATCTGATGAAAGGTATGGATGCTCAAACCAGAAAATTATATACCTAAATATATACTCTCATAGTTTTCACACAGTAGCATACAATTTCAGACTATTCACTCAACCCCCGGAAGCCATCTATTAACCCTTTTATCTATGAAATTACAGTGAAAATGCTTTCTTCAAAAATAACATGGCAATTATAAAGCAAAACAAAAATGGGTTTTCTGCTCCAGGAACAGAAGAGCTATGTGGCATTTGAGGGATTTTGTTTTTTGATTTTGATTTTTTGTTGTTGTTCAATTCTGAGAATTGATCCAAGGGCCTCAGGTATGCTAGGCAAATAAATGCTCTACTACTGAGCTATATGCCCGGCCCTAATTGATATTTGAAAATACACACAACACACACACACACAATTTTTTTTTTATTTTTTATAATTGTAGATAGACAGCATGCCTTTATTTTATTCATTTTTGTATGCAGTGCTAAGGATCAAACCCAGTATCTCACACATGCTAGGCAAGTGCTCTGCCACTAAGCCACATCCCCAAACCCTCACACAATTTTTATATAAAAACAATGACCATGCACACACTTCCAATGCAACTGTTTAAAAATATTTAATATACTGTCAGGAAAACTGTATCTCCAATGTGTAATTTATAACAATCTAATAATTCTCTGTAGTCATTAATTAAAAAAAAATAAATCCAGAGCTGGGGATGTGGATCAAGCGGTAATGCGCTCACCTGGCACACACAGGGCCCTGGGTTCCATCCTCAGCATCAAATAAAATAAAATAAAGATGTTGCGTCCACCGAAAACTGAAAAATAAACGTTAAAAAATTCTCTCTCTCTCTCTTAAAAAAAAAATCCAGCTGAGGGTTTACTTCAGTTCTAGAGCATGTGCTTATGCACAGGAACCCAGTTTAAATCTAAGAACTGAAACCCAGCTCCCCACCTAAAAAGTTAACTTTTGAAGAGAAGTGTTAAAGATTTGTTATAAAGAAATGTTTACATAAAAGCATATAGTAGATCATTCAACTGTACCCTTGTATTTCAATAAGGCTTAATTTACTAACTTCCCCGAGTTTCACAGCATGCTACCTGTTTGAGTACAACAGAAAAGGTAAGCAATACACACATTTTCAGGGACTGATTTGATAACTGGTTTCTATTAA